GTGTTACCTGATTCTCATGATCAAAACTTAGTGGTTAAATATATACTAACCTGAGTCAGTTCATATGTATAGAAACCAGTTTCTTCATTCTTGACCTCCATTTATTTCCTACTGAAACACAAAACCATGTTCATATAACAAACAGATGATAATGAGACTGGGTTGGAGAGTATTAGTTGCGTTAGCTGTTGTTATGGAATGGTAAGTGAGGGCAGCACAGCTATACGTATCGGTCAAGCAGAGACCCAATGAAACCTGGTGTCAATGTTTTAGGGATACGTGTTCTACAGGCGATATATTGCGTGAGAACACGTGAAGTCTGTATAAATATCACTTGACCAAGGTGGTAGTTGCATTATTCTATGACTGAAATATAATTTTAGAACAGTCCATGTTTGTAGCTGGATAGTTACAAGATTTTAGAACCTACATACCTAGCCGAACTTCTGATCAATCAAAATTCTTTTGACATTTGAGATCAAATTCGTGACCCTTTTGGCTATTTTAGATGTGAAAGTTTTGGGAATTTCTGAATATAACCCATAACAGAAGATAAAAAACGACACGTTTTGGCATTCCAGAACTCAAGAAATCACTCAACAATTCATAAATGGATAACAACTTTACAGTGATACATCAGATTTGTTTCTTTTCAAACAATGGTGTAAGTGTCTTGAGATTTTACCTTATATATATTATGTAAAGTTCTGTTTGTTTCTTGTTAAGCACAAAGCTATACAATGGGCTATCTGTGCTTTACCCATCACGAGTAGCGAAACCCGATGTTTAGAGTTAAAGCCTTTAGGTTTCTCCCAATGGGAAAGCGGTAAGTTTAAAATTCTGGGTTTGATTCTCCACAGTGGACACAGCAGATATCCCAATGTGGCTTTGCTCTAAAACAAACAAACAAAGCCTTTAGACATAAGGATCTGAAGATAAAAACGAATGCCTTTTTTTATCTTATACAACGAAAAGATATTGTAACAGTAAACTTTGATCTAAGAATCAAACTACTGCTATCTTTTCCTCTTCGAAGCACTTGAGCATCTCATCACAATCTGTAAATATCAAACACTTGAAATAACCTTGCAAGTTGTTTCTCCTCTCTATATTAACGAAGTATCTCTTTAAAACCGATTTGTATTTTGTAAAACTCGGTGGTGAAGGTAACCGAAAAGATGTCCGCCTGGTCCTGCTAAGGAAGGTATTCATTTCTAAACTTTCAGTGAAGAGCGTTGAATTTATACTTAATAAGGGTAACATCCGTAACAATCTTAGTTTGTTTGTTTGTTTTGAATTTCGCGCAAACCTACACGAGGGCTATCTGCGCTAGCCGTCCCTAATTTAGCAGTGTAAGACTAGAGGGAAGGCAGCTAGTCATCACCACCCACCGCCAACTCTTGGGCTACTCTTTTACCAACGAATAGTGGGATTGACCGTCACGTTATAACGCCCCCACGGATGAAAGGGCGAGCATGTCTGGTGTGACGGGGATTCGAACCCGCGACCCTCAGATTGCGACTCGAGCTCCCTAACCACCTGGCCATGCCGGGCCGTAATACTTATACTCAAACTTTTTTTTTTATTTCTGTCACCCTGGTTCTAGTAAAAGTTCGTTCTTACTCTGAGTGCTAACATGGTAGATGATGACCTTTCTCCTACACAGATTTTACATCGAGGAAAAATTAACTTTTTTGTGATTTCTTAAAGAGAGGACTGATGAGTTTAAATTAGAAGCATTAGTGGCAAATATAACTAGATGTCCAACTGAGTACTCACAGTACTTATAGGTCCAAGGAGAGTGATGTAATGTTGATGTATTTCAAGTAGTTTCCATCCTATAAATTCTACAAGAGTCTTTTGGTAGTGACTCTGTCTCCATAGAAAGCATCATGGACGTCAGGATGAGGAACTACAGCATGACTCCTGAGGAAATACTATGAGGAAATACAGCATGATCCCTGAGGAAATACTATGAGGAATACAGCATGATCCCTGAGGAAATACTATGAGGAACTACAGCATGACCCCTGAGGAAATACTATGAGGAACTACAGCATGACTCCTAAGGAAATAGTATGAGGAACTACAGCATGAACCGTGAGAAAATACTATGAGGAACTACAGCATGAACCATGAGAAAATACTATGAGGAACTACAGCATGACCCCTGAGGAAATACTATGAAGAACTACAGCATGACTCCCGAGGAAATATTATGAGGAACTACAGCATGACCCATGAGGAAATACTATGAATCAATTTTAGATTTATTTATTGCTTTGAATTCATGTTCCTAGCTAATGACAGTTTGGTATACGAGAGCTTTCAGTTGACACTCTCAGTTTTTGGTTCCTTTCTTTATAACCCAAGCTGCTGTATGTTTAACCTTCAAAACACTTTGAGCTCTACAGATATATTTCGTTGTAGTGTAAGACGAAACTGTAAATCTCATGGGCAACCTATATGATGTTCATATGAAGAGTGTGTGGTACAGTTGTTGTTTGTAGCTCTGGGTTAGGTTCATTTAACATCTATTATTATCATTGTCGTCGATGTATGTACCAAAAGTCATTATAAAACCGTTTGTCTCTTTTTTTCCCCCTCGGTGGCTCAGCAGTAAGTCAATGGGCTTATAACGCTAAAAATGGGGTTTCGATACCTGTAATGAGTGGAGCACAGATATTCCATTGTGTAATTTTGTGCTTTATTACAAACAAAACTCTTTTAGTTTTGGTAATTTTGTTGATGTAGATGTTTTTAATTTTACCATAAAAGATTATGCTTGACTGTGATTTACCTGACTTTTGAGCATGAGTCATATGTTGGACACTAACAGCAAGTTGTCAAACATACAATTCGCAGGATACACTGAAGCACACTTCTTGTAACCTTGTTCAATAATGTAGATGGTGTTGAAAACAAGAACATCAAAAATAATTTTCAAAACAACTGATATTAAACATAAACAATTACAGAGTAATAATCATATAAATGACGTAAAATATGTAAACTGTATTATAATGTATGTGACTAGTGATAATTTCAACAGTTAACATTGTTTTCACATAACATTATACAAGAGATTTAAAACTGAAATATGTATAAAAATACCTTTCTAAACAAGTCAAATATATATTCTCTCTTATTCATACACACGTGTAACTTTCACATGAATGTTGAAACTAAAAGATAAACATAATTTTTATTTACCTTTATAACTTTTGACAAGTCACAGATGCTATGTTACTATAATACATAAGCTTGAAATTGTGCACTAAAACGACACTTATAGTTTATAATTGAGTTAATATTATATGATCGTATTTAAGTACTGAATCAAAATCTTTTGGCATATAAATCATTTGGAATTATTGTTATGCATAAAGACATTAATGTAAAACCAGACTTTGTATCCTTGTGGGGTCACTATTCCTGAAATGATCTGTAGATTTCTCGCTTTGATGTGCTTGAGATTTACACAGGATTGAAGATATATTCAGCATATGGATAGTTTAGCAAAGAAACTGTAATTTATACCCACATAAGTAAATCAAGATGATATAAAGAAAATCCTAGATGTCTTGATGTCCTATTGGATGCTATGATAGAACATAAAGTGGTAAGGTTGATATTTATTTTACTTAGTCGTAGTTTATATAATACGAAATCTGAAAGTTTAAATAAATAATGAATTTGTTCTACAGTAAATCTTTCACTTAGAAAAACATTTGAGAAAGTATAATATTAGTGTCACTATATTTACTTTAGTAAAAGGTTCGTAGAAAGTTTAGTAATTTATGGGTAAAAGCAGAAATACGTATGAAAAACAAGTTAATATATGCCATAACAAATGGAATGAAGACTGCTGTGTATAATGTTTTTACAGAAACCCGTGAAAGTTATGCCACTTATTGGCTTAAATATAAGATTAATATCGGCTTGAGGACAAGTCTTTTGTAAAGGGAGGGGGAACAATGTGGTGTGTACACAAACCATGTGTTTTCTATTTTCTTGTAGTAATATAGGAATTTTTCTAGATTTATTATTTATGCAGGTATGTGCAATTTCCATATAACACATTGGTCAAGAAGGTAGTTAAGTTACTGTTGCTCTATATACCTATTATTCTGTGTCATTTTCCAAGGGTAGTATCTTTTGTTTTCTATGGTTAAAATTGGTGCAAAGGCACCTGTAATATGTGAAATTAGACAACTGTCTTTTCCATTGGCATTCAAGTAATCTCTTAAGGCAACAGTCTCTCTTATGTTTCATTAAGAATAACCATCATGTGAGTAACGCTAGTCATTCTGAATAAGTTCTGACGTTAGCCAATTAACTAAGTAACGAGATATTTATTCCCTCTGGAACAGAAACTCAGCAGGATCTTGCATAAGACATCAGCCGTGTAAGCTAGAGACGACTTAAAACCCAAATCTCCAGTAAATGCTACTTTCCATTGTGACAATCAAAATATATTTCTCATTGTGCTTGTTTGAATAAAAAATGTTTATGGTGATTATATATCTCTGTCAAGTCTCTCTTTTTTCTCGCAAATACAATTAGTTAGGGAATACAGAATTATTTTGCAGCAAATATGTTAAATAAAATCCTTTTATCTGCCGACCTGTTTCACCATTTTTAGAGGAAATCAGTGCTATTTGAAAATATCGCAACGGAATGTCCTTTCAAAAACTTTCTTTTACAAATATTTTTTACTTGACACTTCAATATTTGCAGCATTACAAAAAGGTGATTATATTTTTTCAATTTTCATCACAATAAATGGGCATTAGGTGAACCATAGTTAGAAAGTTGACTTGACGAATTCAGTTTTTTTTCTTCATGTATGTGTATGTATTTGTCCATTTGTGGTTTTAGTTTATTGGTGCATTTTTAATTTATGGTACAAGACATATTTGACCCTATTGGTTTCCAAAAAAAATACATTATTAATTAACCGAGCTATTTAAATACTTTCTTCCAAGCATCAGGTGGCACTCCATGCATTATGGCGAGATCGGTGGGAGAAGGGTTCAATTTATTAGTGTTCATAGTTTTTTTACATTTAGTTTTTCCTTTATTATGTAATTCTGAAACCTGCACGAAAATAAACTCTTGCGTTTGTAAATTTAGTAATGGATCTGTGATAAACTTAACTCCTCTTGCATCTAAAGATACAGCACGGTACGCTTAGTCAAGTTTGTATTCTAATATAATGTAACTTGTAAGTAGTTAGTTTTGCATGCATGTTTTTGACAAGATTTGGGGACTTTGATCATGTGAATCCAACAACTTGTAGAACAAGTTGAATGTCACATGACTAAGTCACAAGCATTGTACCTGAACTGATGAAGTTTAAGCAATCTCTGACTCGTTACACGATCTAAGTTAGATCTAAGTAGCTTAACGTTAAATCAGTGTCGAATAAAATAATGAACTATATGGTAGACAAATATTGAAATAAGCATTTTTTAAAGTTATTACAAAAATATATTTATTAAGTTTGATAATAATATAGTTAATCTAACAAAAACAATGTCAGCATTGACTTAAGTTATAACATATACAGGCCTTAGAAATGTAATTGTAGAGTTTCTTGAGATCACTGTTTAAAAATTTAAATTGAAAATGCAGTAAAACAATGCAAAGAAAAAATAAGCTACAATTTTATACTAAACCAGAAAAAAAAACGTGCAGCTCTAAACCTTAAATAACCCATGTAGGTGTTCTTAAACTCTCCTGACAACATAACATCATTTAAAATTAAATGAAAATGAAAAACAAACAACCAAAACTACATGCGAATGTTGTATTTCATTTATATGTATTACATAGTTTAAATAAAGGGGTATCAATCAAATATATAAAAGTAATGGTAATATCATCAGTAAATTATGTATAAGAGTCCTCTTGAAGGTTTGCACCTTCATTTTGTAAGGTGTTTCCAACATCTAATATTTATTTATTAATTAGTATTTATTACTAGGTTATTATTTATGTAGATTATGGTAAGACTTGGATTTTTAGAAAGAATTTGACAAAGTGTTTCATAAAAATCTTGTTAAAAATAAGTTTTATAGGCATGTGGGATTTAGAAAAGTGGCTGGTTTGAAGAAAAAGCAGAGGGAGTTCAGTTAAACTGAATTAATGTCGTCAATGGGGTACCTCAGGGATTAGTGTTAGGACCTTTACTCTTCTCAATTTCTGTCAATGACATAGATGAAGGAATGGTCAATAAATTACCTAAATTTGTTGATGATATTGAGGTCTAGCTATGAAGAAGATGCTGATGTTACTTTATAAATGATTTAGATTATTTGGTGAGTTGGATGAAATAACTGACAAATGGTATTTAACTATAATAAATACAAATGTACCCTCTAATATTTGTAATCCACGTGCAGAATGAATTTTTTCATGTGCACCAGTATTAAGGCAATGTGCAGATGTGCTCTACCAGTTTTTTTTACTGCCTTAGTCCTACCATTCTCACCATCAAGTATGAAATTATACTTATAATTCAAATTATGATAACCCACAGGCAGTGTTCCCTTTAAGCTGTATGGCTGCACAATAACCAATCAAGTGCCACGCACATCCTCAGTAATTGTGAGGAGTCTCAACACGTTGACGGCCTTAATGACAATGGCAGCTGATAGGCCTAAAGCCCAAATAACCAACTGGTAGCCCTAATGATCCAATAGGGTCGATGGTCTACAAATACCCCCCCCCCCTAAAAACTATCTTCATTTAAGGTAGTTTTATTCTTCTAACAAGGTGGTTGGCTTTTGGAATGGGGTGCCTTTAAATGTGGTGTGTGTGTAGTAAGTTTAAGTGAAGGGATCACTTTGAGATTTTTCTTTCTTTTTCCAATGGGATGAAACAGTTGTTTTCCTTAAATTTTGTTATGTTTAGCATTGTAATAGTATGGGATGGTATCCATCATTTCAAAGACTGATAACATATATAAGCCAGTGTATCCAAAACTGAGCATCATTTCTAAAAGAATACCGAATATCGAGGGCTGAGTGCACATGTCATCGGCATGTGGTCTTTCTGTTCTTCATAATTAAGTGATCAATTCTTAAAATTCATAACATTTTAAAGGGACACAAAGGAGCTTATTAGCACATCAAGGATGTCTCTTCAAGCTCCCAACTATATCCACCCCCTACTACTTGTGTATTCATCCAATCTTTTCTTGAACTGGGTAAAAATTTCTTCCTCCATCACCCTCGAAGGCAGCTCATTCCAAAAGCCTGTTTGAAAAGTAATACTGTCCAAGCTGCAGACGACTCCTATGCTGCTAACATTTGAATTTATGACCCCTTGTTTCTTGGCAGTGGTAATAGCTCTTTGTTGTGCAGAGGGGTGAATGTCTATCTAAAATACATTTTCAGATTAGGAGAATATTAACTTTTGAAAATTTAATGCCCTAAGTTTTACATGCCGAGTTTACGGAAGTATCTAACACTATACACTTAGAGATGGATGGGTATTCAAAGCTTGTGATGTGCAAAAACATGTTCTTGGCAGTGGTAATAGCTCTTTGTTGTGCAGAGAGGTGAATGTCTATCTAAAATACATTTTCAGGTTAGGAGAATATTAACTTTTGAAAATTTAATGCCCTAAGTTTTACATGCCGAGTTTACGGAAGTATCTAACACTATACACTTAGAGATGGATGGGTATTCAAAGCTTGTGATGTGCACAAAAATGTTCTTGGCAGTGGTAATAGCTCTTTGTTGTGCAGAGAGGTGAATGTCTATCTAAAATACATTTTCAGATTAGGAGAATATTAACTTTTGAAAATTTAATGCCCTAAGTTTTACATGCCGAGTTTACGGAAGTATCTAACACTATACACTTAGAGATGGATGGGTGGGTATTCTGTGACTAAGAAACTTTGAGAACAAACTGAAAAAGAAAATCATTCAGTGGTTTTATTTAACTTATTAGTCGCTCAGTCCACAAGTGTCTACTAGAATATGTACTCCATCTTGGATCCAGAATAGAACAATTGAATATAGAATAGTGAAGAATTAAATGTGTATATCAGTTATTGATAAGAGTTTTATCAAGATAAACATTGTTACTTGTAATCAGTGTATATGTATTTTATTCATAATTTTTGTTGAACCCAATATTATCATAGCTTTAGAAAATTATAATGATTTATTGTTAATATACTGTGTATTTATTATCCAAACTAACTACTTTAGTTAAGTTATTATTACATATTAACTGCACCTCAGGAACAATTACATGTAGGTTTTATAAGTAGCTGCTACCACTAACTGAAATGTTTATACAATTATGAAGCTGACTAAATTAATGATGTTTGTAGGTGGCGAGACAAAGCTACTTCAACTAATGACACCTACAGGTATTTCTACAACCCTTGCTTTGACTTCAAGGAAGGTCCTGCAGATAGTCCTCTAGAGGACTGCTCTACTGAAGTAGCAGTAAGTGTTAGTTGTTGTGTGTCTTCATAGCATCCAGTTCATGTGTTGAACACAGAAACAACGTCAAGATAATGTTTCATTTGACGAGACCATTTCTGTATTAACCATGTATGCAGTATGTAACATCTTGGCTAATATTTGTGATTGTGAAAACCATTAGCAGTAAGTGTTAGTTGTTGTGTGTCTTCATAACGTCCAGTCCATGTGTTGAACACAGAAACAACGTCAAGATAATGTTTCATTTGACGAGACCATTTCTGTATTAACCATGTGTGTAGTATGTAACATCTTGGCTAATATTTATATTGTGAAAACCATTAGCAGTAAGTGTTAGTTGTTGTGTGTCTTCATAATCGTCCAGTCCATGTGTTGAACACAGAAACAACGTCAAGATAACGTTTCATTTGACGAGACCATTTCTGTATTAACCATGTATGTAGTATGTAACATCTCGGCTAATATTTGTGATTGTGAAAACCATTTAGACCATGAGCCGTCACGCTCGTAGTATCTCGTGACACCTTGCAGTAGAATGATGGTTATAGCTGATTTCTCAACAATTTTTCATAAGTGATTAGAGTTAGAAGCTTGTGCCTTCATACATCTACATGTATATATCTCAAATATGCTATTATATTAACTCAAGGTTGCTGCTACATTAATTCAGTTACTCAGTTTTTCACTGTTATTGGTTATGATGTTTGAATAATTATGAACAACATTTATTGTTATTTTGTGTATTAAGACTGTTGCTCACTAATTACCACTTATTACTGTTAATAATATTTTGTAGTGGCTATTCAACACCTACCGTTGTCATACAATCATTCTGTCAAGCTCACTAATTACCACTTATTACTGTTAATAATACTTTCTAGTGGCTATTCAACACCTACCATTGTCATACAATCATTCTGTCAAGCTTACTAATTACCACTTATTACTGTTAATAATATTTCTGTGGCTATTCAACACCTACTGTTGTCATACAATCATTCTGTCAAGCTCACTAATTATCACTTAATACTGTTGATAATACTTTCTAGTGGCTATTCAACACCTACCGTTGTCATACAATCATTCTGTCAAGCTCACTAATTACCACTTATTACTGTTAATAATACTTTCTGGTGGCTATTCAACACCTATGGGCCCGGCATGGCCAGGTGGTTAAGGCGCTTGACTCGCAATCTGAGTGTCGCGTGTTCGAATCCTCATCACACCAAACATACTTGCTTTATTAGCCATGGGGGCATTATAATGTGACAGTCAATCCCACTATTCGTTGGTAAAAGAGTAGCCCAAGAGTTGGTGGTGATGACTAGCTGCCTTCCCTTTAGTCTTACACTACTAAATTAGGGACAGCTGGTGCAGATAGCCCTCGTATAGCTTTGCGCGAAATTCATAACAAAAAACAAACACATCAGTGCCTACTGTTGTCATACCCTTATTCTGACAAGCTCACTAATTACTATGCTACTCTATATGGCTGTACTTACTGCATAATTTTCCTACCCACCCCATAAGTTTCCAATGTATTAATTAATCTCACATTAGACACCTTACCAGAGGCTTATTTAAAGTCAGGTACACAATGTGTTCATCTAAAATAGGCAGAGATTGTAACCAGAAAGGAATGTCGAACAAAGTAATCTATGTTTAGAATAATTTAATATATGCCATCTTATTTTCAAAAATACTTTCAACAACAGGTTCTAACATCTTGCTAAAAACAGAATAAAAAATTAGACTAACAGGCTTCCGATTTTCCCAAATCCTTTTAGACTCTTTCTTTTTAAAAATACGATCACAATCTTATAATCATCAGGAGACCATGAGTAAACAGCAGTTGAACTACTTTTATTAGCTATGTTTGTCTCGTCAGGGCCAGGAGCCTTATTCTCAAGCTCTTCTAAAGCAGTTGCTTCTTCAACATCCAACTGAAGAGAAGTTAAGCCTTTTTGGAAACTTCACAGACTTGCGTCATCTTTTTTTTTTCCTCTTATTCCCTAAAAATTTTAAAGGATATGTCCAATTGGCACAAAAAATACTTTTTGAACTAGTGTAAAGGTGAATGAACTCTGAACGTAATTCAAGATGTTTTTTATACCATCAATTTATGATTTCATGATCTGAAACCATTGCAAGTTCAGTGTAGTCCTTAACTATGAAACTTGGGTTTTTTTATTATTGAAGTAAGCTACACGTAGGAAATATAGTGCATGCATCAGATCCAGCTTAGACAATGATATAATATGTTTTTAATAGTTCATCATAAAAAATATACTAATGCATGTCCTACAGCCTTTTTTTTTTACAGTTCCATTAACACACAGAAATCAAAATGAATTAATCACAATGGATTTGTTATAACTTGTCATGCATTCAGAAGTTGTAATTTGGATATAACAGAAACACTGTAATATATTTATCTTTTTCATGGCCTGGCGTTTTCTTGTGCTTGACTCACCCTTTCATTATAACATGATAGTCAATCTCACTATCTGTAGTTGGAGAATAGTCCAGGAGTTTGAGTTGTGTGATAATGGCCAACTAGCACAGATAGCCTACGAGTATCTTTACATGAAACTTCCACAAACAATTTTTATTTTCAAAATAGTTTGCCTGTGGCAAAGCACAGATAGTCCCAATTTGCCAATTGATTAATCGTTGAGCTTGTTAACTGATTACATTCAGCTTATCGATTATTCTCACATGAGACTTGATGTTGGAATAATTAATAGTAGTAACTGGAAACAGAGATGTGTGATTAATGGAATTTGCCAATTGATTAATCGTTGAGCTTTTTAACTGATTACATTCAGCTTATCGATTATTCTCACATGAGACTTGGTGTTGGACTAATTAATAGTAGTAATTGGAAACACTAATCACAATTACTTGATCATTTTCATGAATCAAAACAATTCGATTAAGTGAGCAACCTGGACTTACTTGAAAATGACAATGAGAAATCATAATGACAATATTTGAATTACTTGGATAGTTGGAATAATCGAAAACAGTATTGATTTGTTTGTTGTTAAGCACAAAGCCATGAAACCATTAATCACACATCTCTGTTTCATGCATGTTTCTTATTCTGGTAACAGAAAGTGTTTGAAAAGTATTTAATTTATGATCACTTGTGGTAAGGAAAACATTTCTGAATCACGTGCTTTCTTTGTTTAGTGCTTATAAGTAACTTAAAATCTTTGTATCATGACAAGAGTGAAAACCACAGATTCAGGAATTAACAACATGAAGCTAAAAGTTTTGATCAAAAGTTCAATTTTCAGCAAATATCTTGGATTGTTTTATTTTACCAATTTTTTTCATTATCATTAACAAGTTATTGATAATTGTTTGCCATCTCTGGGCCTTGTATGTTTTCATGTGTACACAGTTGCTACACGTTTAACTGTTCTCCATAAATTATTTGGCAAGATGCACGTATATCTGTTAGGTAAATGAAAATAACAGTTTAGTAATGTTTATGATTCAGTTTTATTATCTTGATTAAACGTACATGATTTTGTTCTTAACATTGTGTGTTTGAATTCAAAATACCATATGTACTAAAAATTAATAGAATTTTATGAATTTCAGTAACAACATCAAAAACAATATTGTGAGTGAATATATGCTATTTGTCAACAAAATAAAATACATTTTCAAATTTCTTTTAATTCTAGGCTTGCCAAGTTAGTCCTGACCATAAATTATACTACAATCTGGGAAACCAGGCAAGTGCCCAGTTTCACTGGAATAATACTGGCAATGTTTTACAGTTAGTTTACCAAGCTCCACACACAAGAAAGTAAGTTTTTCTCTAAATCTCAACAAGGTGTGTGTGTGTGTGTATATTAACAAAAATCCATAGTTTCTGCTAGTTTATGTCGTCACTGTTCCGTTAAGCAGAGTGGTGTATATTGGTTTGCCTCTGTCTGTTCTGATCCTGTGAAAACAATATCTCAAGATTAAATAGATGGAGTTTGACTAAATTTATGAATTAAATACTATGTACAGAATTCTAGATCTGGTTAACTTTTGAAGGTCAAGGTCAATTAAATTGGGGGAACATGATTAACTTTTGAAGGTCAAGGTCAATTAAATTGGGGGAGTATGCATTATAACATTATTGGAGCACAAGGGTTTCATTAACACAACTTGCACGCATCTAATCTTTATGTACGTGAACAATTAAATATGAAGTGTGGAGAAAGAGAGGAGGATGATATGGACAGTTAAGTGTTAATTTCTATATTGAATTGTTCCAGAAACTTGTACTGTATGCTGGTATGTTGAGAGAACATTTTGAGGGGAGGGGACAATAGAAAGAGTCTGAATGATTGATCAGCTGGAAACCTCTGTGAGTTGAGAGAGGTAATTATTGCTGATTGGCTGGTAACTTCTGAAAGGAGTAGGCCAAATGAGGAATTCTCTAAACTGTGTGGGCTGAGCATGAAGATTAGAATGTAATATTCAAATACTAAATTTATCGCTCTCTCTCTCTCATAGCATGTATTTCATGTTTAAAAACTTCCATGTTCCAAATCTGAAACAAGATTAGTCTGGTTGAGGTTGTGTCCAAGATTCCTCCTGAAGAACTAATCGACTGTTTCGTGGGATAGTTGTATTATGTCCTACTTTACGTTGTGATAAACGACAACTTTACGATTATCACAGGTACTTCTGAAATGTTGCAGTCTATTTTTATTTTGTCAGCTGCAGGGAGACTGTGGATCATGAGAGCAGTTTTGACAATCTTAGAGTCGTTAGCTTCTGGTCTATAAGGGTTAAGACCTGCTGTAAACTTTAGACTTTTGTATAGTTTTTTTTTTACTGTGTATGTTGTCTGTGCATTGTTGTTTCTGAATTTTAGTTTTGATTTTAGGATTGTTTTAGTTATTGTAAGCTTCAAGTTATAGCTAAAACTTATAAATTAGTCCTGTAAACCCCACTGAAGTGTCTAAAAACGGTATTTCATTCTGTAGCATAACTACATCTTACAGGAATATTAATTTCCACTATGTCAGAGTTCAGATTCTTGTAACTACCCGTATGTGAACCCTATATGTTAAAATTAAACCTTTTGTTTATTTTGTAGAAACTAATACTACTGAACAATTGGTAGTTTACAAACAAACATCTTGGAATGCTTTAATAACAACACAAAGTTTAGTTACGTGCACATGTAATTAACGTACGCTTTAATAGGTAGTTATGATGTGTTCCCCACAGTGATCTACCTTGATGCTACAGTTAGAAAAATGACATAAATAAAATATTATACTGTGTTAAAATATAAATATTAATAAACAAGGTATTCGTGGAAGGAGATACATTGTAATAATCAATTTGATAAAATTTTACAAGGGACAATATATAACACTCCCCGAGGGTTCTTATGACCCGAGAAAAAGAGTACGAAAGGCCCAAATCATGTGCTGGAGGTGAAGCTGGGACGTGTGCTATTGTTATTATTACTACTCTTTCGTGCATCGTAGACTGTAGTAATTGTAAGATCTTACACATTCCCTGGATAAAATAAATATTGTCTATGTTATATCATATTACTTGAACTGTTGCCCCTCTTACTAAACGTCAACTACTCTGTAACCAATTAATCCTTTTTTTTTACTATTTTTGTTCTACAGACAACGACAAATTAAAATAGCTTATTATCAATTCTCTGTTTTAAACAAACATCTTCGTACGTGTATGAGAAGTTCAGTTTCTAAAGACTGATATTTTTACTTGTAATAAAACTATTAACTCTCCACCCATATATCAATTCTCTGTTTTAAACAAACATCTTCGTACTGTGTATGAGAAGTTCAGTTTCTAAAGACTGATATTTTTACTTGTAATAAAACTATTAACTCTCCACCCATATATTTATGCCTGCTAGACCCTTCTATGGATGATAAAGGGTTAATAAGATACAGATATTAACAAGTTTCTGCATAATTGTGGAATGAACGGGTTACATAATTAACACATACACACCCATAGTGTTAACAAAGGGCTTTTAAGAAATTGTGTTATTCAATTCATTTACTTGTTCTTATCAATGGAATAAATGGTCAGTGTTATTCCACAGTAAGTAATACATTATTTGACTGTGAACTAATGATGCAAATAGCTGTGTTTTCTACTACAGAAAAGTCATATTCTGCCATAGAAAGTCACGTGTTCGTGCCACAGAAAGTCACGTGTTCGTGCCACAGAAAGTCACGTGTTCATGCCACAGAATTTCATGTGTTCTGCCACAGAATGTAATGTTCGGAAAAATACAATGAAACTGTAATACATAATTGTTTTTTATGTGTACTGTATATGTTAATGGAGGTTACAGTTAATGAAGATCAAGTTTAAGAGAGAATTTTGTAGAAAAATCTTTTGCTATTTCATTAAATAACAAAAGACTATAATTGTGTGTGTAATAAGGTGTTTATTATTCTTTTTATTGACCCTAATTGTAGCCTTGTGGTTTTTTCCAGGCAAACAAATGTGACGTTAGTGTGTTCTAGTGAGTCGTCAAGTCCTAAACTTGATGTTTTGGGTGAAATTAACTCTGGATCTGAGCACTATGTAAGTAATTTTTTTACTTACAGAGTGCTCAAATCCCGGTTTTTGTGTTTTTACTTACAGAGTGCTCAGATCCATGTTTGTTTGTTTTTACTTACATAGTGCTCAGATTCATGTTTAGTTCTTTTTTTTACTTACATAGTGCTCAGATACGTGTTTAGTTCTTTTTACTTATATAGTGCTCAGATCCAAGTTTTTTCTTTAGGTTTAGTTTGTTTTTTTTACTTACATAGTGCTCAGATCCAGGTTTAGTTTGCCAGGTTTAGTTTGTTTGTTTTTTACTTACATAGTGCTCAGATAAACAACAAACTAAACCTGGATCTGAGCACTATGTAAGTAAAAACAACAAACCAAACCTGGATCTGAGCACTATGTAAGTAAAAACAACAAACCAAACCTGGATCTGAGCACTATGTAAGTAAAGAAAACAACAAACTAAACCTGGATCTGAGCACTATGTAAAGTAAAAACAAACAAACTAAACCTGGATCTGAGCACTATGTAAGTAAAACAACAAACTAAACCTGGATCTGAACACTATGTAAGTAAAAACAAACAAACTAAACCTGGATCTGAGC